CCGTGGGGACGTATCCAAACGATAGGTGCGACGGAAGGTCTGCCGTGCGTGAAGGTCGGTTTACCGTCGATTGCCGTGAGATGTACAAGCCAGTCGCCATGAAACCGCGGCAGAAGTGCAACATACAGTATGACGACTGGTCATGCGGCAGTCCTGATAGGTATCGATAGCTGCGAGAGTTCCTTGCAGACACATTCGCTGAGCCTCTATGCGGCAGGATGCAAAAAAAGGGCCAAGTTGTCAGAGAATCGTGGGCCCTAAACCCTAAACCCTAAACCCTAAACCCTAAACCGTGGGGGTTTTATTCTTTATTCTATGGGCGATGCAGGGTTTGAAGGTGTAAAGATGAGGCTTGAATAATCTTGAAAGTTCGTAAGCCAGGTCTTCGTTCGCCAGGGGAAGCTCCGAGACTGGCCATTTTTTCCTGCTCAGGATACAGGGCCTGCGCCGTTGAAGCCTGGTGCACCGAAAAAGGGTATGGCCCGAAGCTTATGAGACTCTTCTAACTCTCTCTAGGCAGACTGAAACACAGAACCTAAGATTTGACTCTTGCTGGTGTCACTTGGTCTACCGTCTCATGAGCAGCATTGGCTAAAGGGTCTTGTATCGCTCAGGCGCTGGGCAAGAAGAAAAATGCGGACGTGCTTGGCAGCCTGGGCCCTGCCTGGCTTATCCGGAGACCCCTTGGCCGCTCTTGACCAACCCGAGGCATGGGCATTCCTGAGCCCACGCCTTCTCCGGAGGCTGCCGGTCGAGAGTGGAGCGCAAGGGGGACATGGCTTCAGCAATTGGCATTGTCTTTGTTGCCCCACGGCTTTGGCCAGGCCGTGGCTGAGGAGCCCGCAGCTGCGAACTCAGCCCTTCAGGGTCTTGCAGGAAGCTCGGCTCGTTGCGGAGACCCTGATCCTCGAAATGTCGCATTTCAGGCTGCTCCGGCATACAATCCTTTGCCGCAGCCTCAGCAAAACAGGTTTCTGTTTCGGAGCAGTGGCGAGGGCGAGGGCCATGGGCTGCCACGAGTCCCGCACCCACGACTCCTCCCCCCTGTCGGAGTTTAGAATTTTCTTCTGATACCGATTGCGAGAGACCTGAAACATTTCGTGTTTGAGGATGGATCCAGTTAGAGTGGACATCGAGGCAACTTGGGAATGGGAATGGGGAGGGCCGATGTTGAGCACACTTCAATGGATTACAGCCCCGGTTAACTCCGGGTTCGACGAAGGGCTGCACTCCGCTTCAGTTACCGCTCCATTCTCGATTGAAGTGTTTGCGTCAACCCTCCACTGCTGCAGGAGAAGATTACTGCGGACCTGCAAGTGGAGGGTGGGCGCGCCTTCCGCAATAAAGACCTTGCATGCAGGTTGATTACGATTGCTACTTCCTGCGAAAGCAACAGCACAGATGAAAGTCACAATCTGTCAACCAAGACACCACCCAGGTTGGAAGGCGAAGCCGTCTGCACTGGCCAGTTCCAGGCGCGCCCCCGCTTTCAGCGATCTCGCGGCTCATGTGGTCCCTTGTCAGTCCCACCCGCTGGCAGGTGACGGTGCTTGACGCCTCCAAGGCAGACCTCGCGGCCTTCAGGCGATGCTATGCACTCTGTTCCAAGTCCTTCGGTCCTCCGGGCAGTAGAGCTGATACCAGACAGCAAGTTGAATCCGGTGCCTGGCGTGGATTGCCTGCAGACGTGGTTGGCGGACGCTGGAGTTCTGGTAGCGTGTCTTGCTTCCTGCAAGTTCGGACTAGTGCATCCTTGTGAGCTCCAATTCTGCGAGGTTGGCCCCGCAGAACCAGGAGTTCAGGTACAAGGCTGGTAAGCTTTGCAATGTTCGGCAGAGAGCTTTTCGCATATGCTTCGTTGCTTCTACCCTGCATCCCTCGCTTGGCTGGAGCTTGCAAAGTATTTATTGGGCTTCCCTGCTCGCTTTTCAATATTCCCCAAGAGACACTAGTTGAGTGCGGAAACATTCTGAGTCCTGACAACTTGAATTGCACGCCGCGTGCTGGCAGATTCACCCGAACCTGAACAAGACGTCTTTGCCTCAGGAGTTTAGTGTAACTTGGCTTGAGTCAGGTGCACAGGGTCAGGAGACGGCAGAGACTCAGATGTCCTCTGCTGGAACGCAACATGTTCCTTGCGCTGAAGCTGCGGTTCGCTAGCGCCGGCCAATGAAAACTTACTTTATTCTTGTCGGCCGTCCTTGATGGACATAGCGGTTCATCATATCGAACAGTCCTTGCAACATTTCGCCGAGGCACTTACCACTGCCTAATCTCCTGGCATCAGTGTTTCCCACCTGAACGCAATCGTGCACAACGGTCCAATAAGTCAGGCAAAGCTGCTTTGACGACTTTCTACCTCATTGACATGGTCGGCCAAGGTCGCATGCAAACAACGTCTTGGAGGTTCGAGAGGCTTCCCGGGCCTACAGGGCGAATGCGCCGGTTCCACTCGTAAAGTGGCAGCCTGGAGCCCAGTTGACTGGGTTATAAACACATCCTAGGCACCCAGATGGTAAGCAAAGGAAGAGACCAAGCGTTGGATAATGTTGTATAGTGAAAGCAGGCGGCTCCCTTAATGTATTACGTAGTGAATACACCGAAGGAATACACCGAAGGATTCCGCATGTGGCGCCTGACCGGTAGGGTGAGGAGCCAGCCAGGCGCTGAATGGAAGCATGGTCTGACCGCACCGCGCCAGAGGTACAAGAGCAGCAACGAAGAGTTTTTGCCTGTGTGCTGATCTCAGACTGGCTACCCGCATGCACACTTCTGGTGAAGCGGTGATTTTCCAGTTGGCTCCATAGTTTCGTTTTTTGACTGAGGCAGATCAGCTGCTGGCCATCCACTACAGCAGTGCCTGCCTCATCGGGCCGTGTGTTCGGTTCGGTGGTTCGGCGCAATCTGGAGCATGCGTGCCCCACGGACCAGCCCCAATCGGAGAAAAGCGTGCCACGGGCGCGGAGGGGTGGAAGCACGGCATGGGCGTCGGAAGGCTTCGGAAGCTCCTAACCCAAGAGCCCAGCTCCGAGCACAAAGGATGGCACGCAGATCGTCGTAGAGTTGGAGCTGACCGACACGAGCGTTACGCTTGAGGAGAGTTCTGCTCATCGAGGGATTCTTGGGCTGTCTTGTGCTCATGCGCCCGCAAGGATTCCTGCCTTGTACTCCTCAGACAATAAAACAACATGGCTCAAATATTTTATAAGGCTACCCGCAGGGACGGAAGTTCGGGTGCATGACATGTCACATCGGAGAAGCACAAGCGTTCCTGAGTCACTTGACGTCTTTGGAAAGCAGTGTTGGTAGGTAGGAGGGTGTCTGGAATGCAGTGAGACTCAGTCCGACTTGGCAGCATTGGCTTGCAGAGCTGTCCGGGACCGCTGAACGATCTCGCTGTGCGGCATGTCGCGCTCCAGATTCGTCATGCCCTGCTGCTGCATGCTCCTAGTTGCAGCAGTGCTTGCATTGGCGGATGCCTTCGTCGTGCCATCGTCGCCACACGCATCCTCGGCGCCCAGCCGCATCAACAAGATCGACAGGGCTGAGCCAATGATTTCGAGCGATGCAGGCGCTGTGTTCATGTCAGTTCTGGCTGGTCTCATCGTGGGAGTGGCCGTGCCGGCCAGCAGCTTTGCCGAGGAGTCGGCAGGCTGGGACGGTGAGGGGTTGCGGGCTTTTGCAGGAGTTGCGATTGTTGAGAGTTCAATCAGCCGCCGAAGGGTCCATGGTCTCGCGTCATCAGTATGGGATGGTAGATAGTGGATCCGCCCGGCACGGGACTGCTGCCTTTCTTTGGGCTTTCAGTCGGGTTCGCTTCCGGAAGCAACTCTGATTTGTTTGTTGCTTTTTTTGGGGCAAGCTTGACCGCAGGCACCGAGAAAGCTGCGAGCACCCCGCAGAGCAGGAAGGAGGCAGGGGGCTCGGGCTGCCATTCAACTTTTCGCTCTTAGGCTGCGTGAGAGTTGTAAAGCAACAGCGAGAAGAGCACATGTTGGTTCCTGTACGAGGCAGCCTACGCAGAGATGAAGAAGGTGGCAGAGAAGCTGCAGGCCCGGGATAGTCATGGTTCCGTGTCCGGCCGCGGAACTGTTAGTTAGACTGCACCTGCCGAGCACAGGCAGCGCCCACGAAGGCGGACCGCCTGAAAGCGAGCCAGCAGCAGCTCGTGGAGTGCCTTGCTTGTGTTTGGAAACCGTAAGTCTTGCAAGGTTTCTGTTCGCTACTCCTCTCAAGAGGGGAAGCCCCGGAATAGATCGACATGCGCGTTGTGTCTGCCACCATGTCGACGACTGTCTGGAGGGTTTCGATGACTGTTGCTCCGAAGTTGCACCTGCCAGCTCGAGAAACTTGTCTACGATGCTTGAGTGGTCACTGTACGAACTTGCGCTGGGCATACGCTACCACAGCCTGTTGAGAAGCAGACATGCGTGGAGGGAGGCCCAACCTTTCCCCGGTGCCTGCGAGGACAACTGATTCACGCGCCCTCAGCCACCTCCTCGACATGATAAATTGTAGCTGATATACAAATTTGCTATGGTGAAAAGACGATATCCGGAGTTGAGTAGCGTCCAGGACTCCCAACCGAGAAATAGGTGACCTAGCCAGTGGCTCACACAGCGGCAGGTACGCAAAAAAGGCCGACTACGACAGCACTGGTGTGTGAGCAGCATTTTTACAGACCGATCGCTTCAGCGATGCAGGTGATACTGGGGCGTCGCTTGACAGACCACCGGACTTTTCACCAGCAGCGACTTGAAGCTATTCGCTGAAAGAGAAACGCATTTGCATCGGCTCCACAACCAACAGGTGATCATTCCATTTTGCACGGTCAGGGCCAAGACGAGTGCCTTGGGGTCACAGGGGAGACTTGACATCTTATCTATATGTGGGCTAGTTAGAGGGTCATAAGTGTTTTCCGCAAAAACCAGGTTAACGCTTGTTTGGCAGCAGTTGCGGCTTGCATGCAGAACTGTCCCACGCAGCATCCATCGTGCGGCATGTCGCGCTCCAGATTCGTCATGCCCTGCTGCTGCATGCTCCTAGTTGCAGCGGTGCTTGCATTGGCCGATGCCTTCGTCGTGCCATCTTCGCCACACGCATCCTCGGCGCCCAGCCGCATCAACAAGATCGACAGGGCTGAGCCAATGATTTCGAGCGATGCAGGCGCTGTGTTCATGTCAGTTCTGGCTGGTCTCATCGTGGGAGTGGCCGTGCCGGCCAGCAGCTTTGCCGCGGAGTCGGCAGGCTGGGCCGTTGAGGGGTTGCGGGCTTTTGCAGGAGTTGCGATTGTTGAGAGTTCAATCAGCCGCCGAAGGGTCCATGGTCTCGCGTCATCAGTGTGGGATGGTAGATAGTGGATCCGCCCGGCACGGGACTGCTGCTTTTCTTTGGGCTTTCAGTCGGGTTCGCTTCCGGAAGCAACTCTGATTTGTTTGTTGATTTTTGGGCAAGCTTGACCGCAGGCACCGAGAAAGCTGCGAGCACCCCGCAGAGCAGGAAGGAGGCAGGGGGCTCGGGCTGCCATTCAACTTTTCGCTCTTAGGCTGCGTGAGAGTTGTAAAGCAACAGCGAGAAGAGCACATGTTGGTTCCTGTACGAGGCAGCCTACGCAGAGATGAAGAAGGTGGCAGAGAAGCTGCAGGCCCGGGATAGTCATGGTTCCGTGTCCGGCCGCGGAACTGTTAGTTAGACTGCATCTGCCGAGCACACGCAGATTTGCCCACGACAGGCAGCGCCAACAAAGGCGGACCGCCTGAAAGCGAGCCAGCAGCAGCTGGTGGAGTGCCTTGCTTGCCTTTAGAAGTCGATTTCTTTCGGTGACAGGTTTTTGGAGTCATATTAGTTCCTGTTCGCTCAGACAACATACGACGACCACTGGTTCACGAGCACATGTTTGACGGACCTAACTTCATGGCAGGTACGCGAAGAAGGCCGACTACGACAGCACTGGCGTGTGAGCTGTCCATGTTTTCTTGCCATAGATCTTTAGCAAAACGGGAGGTCAGTTTTTACATACAGCTTCCCGCAGAATACAGGTGACGCCGGGGCGTTTGACAGACCACCGGACTTTTCACCAGTAACGACTTGAATCTACAAGCTGGAAGAGAAACGCATGCGCATCCTCCCGCCCCCGCGGCTCCGCAACCTCTACCGTTCGGATACCTAGGTGATCATTCCACTTTGCACGGTCAGGGCCAAGACAAGTGCCTTGGGTCTCAGGGGAGACTTGACATCTTACATATACGTGGGCAAGTCAGACGGTCAAATGCTGTTTCCGCCATTTCCGCCAGAACCGGGTTAACGCTTGTTTGGCAGCAGTTGTGGCTTGCATGCAGAACTGTCCCACGCAGCATCCATCGTGCGGCATGTCGCGCTCCAGATTCGTCATGCCCTGCTGCTGCATGCTCCTAGTTGCAGCGGTGCTTGCATTGGCCGATGCCTTCGTCGTGCCATCTTCGCCACACGCATCCTCGGCGCCCAGCCGCATCAACAAGATCGACAGGGCTGAGCCAATGATTTCGAGCGATGCAGGCGCTGTGTTCATGTCAGTTCTGGCTGGTCTCATCGTGGGAGTGGCCGTGCCGGCCAGCAGCTTTGCCGCGGAGTCGGCAGGCTGGGACCTTGCACGATTGCAGGCTTGCGATTGGTAAGACTTCAATCGGTCGCTGATTTCAATGGCCTCGCGGCATCAGTTGGTGAGTGGATCCGCTCGGCACGGGCACGGGACTGCTGCGGCTTTTCTGCTTTCTTTGGGCTTTCAGTCGGGTTCGCTTCCGGAAGCAACTCTGATTTGTTTGTTGATTTTTGGGCAAGCTTGACCGCAGGCACCGAGAAAGCTGCGAGCACCCCGCAGAGCAGGAAGGAGGCAGGGGGCTCGGGCTGCCATTCAACTTTTCGCTCTTAGGCTGCGTGAGAGTTGTAAAGCAACAGCGAGAAGAGCACATGTTGGTTCCTGTACGAGGCAGCCTACGCAGAGATGAAGAAGGTGGCAGAGAAGCTGCAGGCCCGGGATAGTCATGGTTCCGTGTCCGGCCGCGGAACTGTTAGTTAGACTGCATCTGCCGAGCACACGCAGATTTGCCCACGACAGGCAGCGCCAACAAAGGCGGACCGCCTGAAAGCGAGCCAGCAGCAGCTGGTGGAGTGCCTTGCTTGCCTTTAGAAGTCGATTTCTTTCGGTGACAGGTTTTTGGAGTCATATTAGTTCCTGTTCGCTCAGACAACATACGACGACCACTGGTTCACGAGCACATGTTTGACGGACCTAACTTCATGGCAGGTACGCGAAGAAGGCCGACTACGACAGCACTGGCGTGTGAGCTGTCCATGTTTTCTTGCCATAGATCTTTAGCAAAACGGGAGGTCAGTTTTTACATACAGCTTCCCGCAGAATACAGGTGACGCCGGGGCGTTTGACAGACCACCGGACTTTTCACCAGTAACGACTTGAATCTACAAGCTGGAAGAGAAACGCATGCGCATCCTCCCGCCCCCGCGGCTCCGCAACCTCTACCGTTCGGATACCTAGGTGATCATTCCACTTTGCACGGTCAGGGCCAAGACAAGTGCCTTGGGTCTCAGGGGAGACTTGACATCTTACATATACGTGGGCAAGTCAGACGGTCAAATGCTGTTTCCGCCATTTCCGCCAGAACCGGGTTAACGCTTGTTTGGCAGCAGTTGTGGCTTGCATGCAGAACTGTCCCACGCAGCATCCATCGTGCGGCATGTCGCGCTCCAGATTCGTCATGCCCTGCTGCTGCATGCTCCTAGTTGCAGCGGTGCTTGCATTGGCCGATGCCTTCGTCGTGCCATCTTCGCCACACGCATCCTCGGCGCCCAGCCGCATCAACAAGATCGACAGGGCTGAGCCAATGATTTCGAGCGATGCAGGCGCTGTGTTCATGTCAGTTCTGGCTGGTCTCATCGTGGGAGTGGCCGTGCCGGCCAGCAGCTTTGCCGCGGAGTCGGCAGGCTGGGACCTTGCACGATTGCAGGCTTGCGATTGGTAAGACTTCAATCGGTCGCTGATTTCAATGGCCTCGCGGCATCAGTTGGTGAGTGGATCCGCTCGGCACGGGCACGGGACTGCTGCGGCTTTTCTGCTTTCTTTGGGCTTTCAGTCGGGTTCGCTTCCGGAAGCAACTCTGATTTGTTTGTTGATTTTTGGGCAAGCTTGACCGCAGGCACCGAGAAAGCTGCGAGCACCCCGCAGAGCAGGAAGGAGGCAGGGGGCTCGGGCTGCCATTCAACTTTTCGCTCTTAGGCTGCGTGAGAGTTGTAAAGCAACAGCGAGAAGAGCACATGTTGGTTCCTGTACGAGGCAGCCTACGCAGAGATGAAGAAGGTGGCAGAGAAGCTGCAGGCCCGGGATAGTCATGGTTCCGTGTCCGGCCGCGGAACTGTTAGTTAGACTGCATCTGCCGAGCACACGCAGATTTGCCCACGACAGGCAGCGCCAACAAAGGCGGACCGCCTGAAAGCGAGCCAGCAGCAGCTGGTGGAGTGCCTTGCTTGCCTTTAGAAGTCGATTTCTTTCGGTGACAGGTTTTTGGAGTCATATTAGTTCCTGTTCGCTCAGACAACATACGACGACCACTGGTTCACGAGCACATGTTTGACGGACCTAACTTCATGGCAGGTACGCGAAGAAGGCCGACTACGACAGCACTGGCGTGTGAGCTGTCCATGTTTTCTTGCCATAGATGTTTACGGAAGCGGGAGCACAGTTTTTGGATGCAGCTGCCTGCTGAGATACAGGTGGTACTGGAGAATGGCTTGACAGACCACCAGACTTTTCACCAGGATCGACATGAAGATATGTCGTCGAAAACAGAGAGCGACACGGAAGTGAAGGGAAGGGTAACATCGTTACTTCGGACTGACAGAACTAACACTTGTGTCTTGGGAGAAACTTGACATCTGGCATCCTTGGACAAATGCAGTGGAGAGTGCTGTCAACGTCGTGTGGTTGCCACGCTCGATCAGATCTAGGTGCGCTTGGGAGCAGTTGCGGCTTGCATGCAGAACTGTCCCACGCAGCATCCATCGTGCGGCATGTCGCGCTCCAGATTCGTCATGCCCTGCTGCTGCATGCTCCTAGTTGCAGCGGTGCTTGCATTGGCCGATGCCTTCGTCGTGCCATCTTCGCCACACGCATCCTCGGCGCCCAGCCGCATCAACAAGATCGACAGGGCTGAGCCAATGATTTCGAGCGATGCAGGCGCTGTGTTCATGTCAGTTCTGGCTGGTCTCATCGTGGGAGTGGCCGTGCCGGCCAGCAGCTTTGCCGCGGAGTCGGCAGGCTGGGACCTTGCACGATTGCAGGCTTGCGATTGGTAAGACTTCAATCGGTCGCTGATTTCAATGGCCTCGCGGCATCAGTTGGTGAGTGGATCCGCTCGGCACGGGCACGGGACTGCTGCGGCTTTTCTGCTTTCTTTGGGCTTTCAGTCGGGTTCGCTTCCGGAAGCAACTCTGATTTGTTTGTTGCTTTTTTGGGGGCAAGCTTGACCGCAGGCACCGAGAAAGCTGCGAGCACCCCGCAGAGCAGGAAGGAGGCAGGGGGCTCGGGCTGCCATTCAACTTTTCGCTCTTAGGCTGCGTGAGAGTTGTAAAGCAACAGCGAGAAGAGCACATGTTGGTTCCTGTACGAGGCAGCCTACGCAGAGATGAAGAAGGTGGCAGAGAAGCTGCAGGCCCGGGATAGTCATGGTTCCGTGTCCGGCCGCGGAACTGTTAGTTAGACTGCACCTGCCGAGCACAGGCAGCGCCCACGAAGGCGGACCGCCTGAAAGCGAGCCAGCAGCAGCTCGTGGAGTGCCTTGCTTGCCTTTAGAAGTCGATTTCTTTCGGTGACAGGTTTTTGGAGTCAGAGTTTCTGTTCGCTCCGACAACATACGACGACCACTGGTTCACGAGCACATGTTTGACGGACCTAACTTCATGGCAGGTATGCGAAGAAGGCCGACTACGACAGCACTGGCGTGTGAGCATTATTTTTGGACACAGCTTCATCCAACATTACGGGTGGTACTCAGGCATCACTTGACAGTCCACCGAGCTTTTCACCAGTAGTGACATGAAGCAGAATGAAGCTACTTCGTTGAAAAAGGAATGTGTCTACGTGCGCATGCCCGGCTTCATGACCCAAAATGCTTGGCAAACATATCTGGACGAAGTGCTTGCCCAGGTGCGGATGCCAGTTGATCACTCCATGTCTCACGGAAGTCACATGTGGTTGCCCTCGGCCGAGTCAGATCCAGGCGTGCTTGAGAGCATTTGCGGCTTGCAACAGATCTTGCAACCAGAGCTGTCCCACCCAGCATCCCTCGTGCGGCATGTCGCGCTCCAGATTCGTCATGCCCTGCTGCTGCATGCTCCCAGTTGCAGCGGTGCTTGCATTGGCGGATGCCTTCGTCGTGCAATCGTCGCCACACGCATCCTCGGCGCCCAGCCGCATCAACAAGATCGACAGGGCTGAGCCAATGATTTCGAGCGATGCAGGCACTGTGTTCATGTCAGTTCTGGCTGGTCTCATCGTGGGAGTGGCCGTGCCGGCCAGCAGCTTGGCTGGCACGGGTGGGCCGAGACCAGACTTCCAGGTGGTTCGACCAGGCAGGGCTGATGCATGTTTCACGAGCAAGGTTGGTGCTAAAATTTCCTGCGCCAGTCCTTCTGGCACCACTGTTTCTAAGTTCTAGCTATAGTTGTCGCCGGAAGCCTCGATGGTCTCGTGTTACCGGCTGATCGCAGTAGCATCTTGCCTGTGGCACCCTCAAAAATAGGTCTTAGCGGTTTGTACGATAAAACTTGATTGTTGTAAGTGGCGAGTGCGTGCTACGAGTAGAGCATTGCAGGCTTCATGCAAGGCATCGATGCCGCTTTGGCTGCAAAGAAACCCGGCGAGATCGACTATGTCACACGCAGCAGAATCGAGGCAAGACTCGACTGCGAGTCATGTTCAGCAAGTCCTGGAGACCAGGTTTTCTGTCATCCGCACTGTGCATGTAGCTTCTGCGTCAGGCATCCTACTTCCCACAAGTTCTGGAAGAGCTGAAGCAGGAGAAGGTGAAACTGGAGGCCAACGATGGCGGCACTGCTATTTGAGATGCGGTTGCGCATGGCCACGTGCCAGGCAGCTCCCAGCAGGCAGGAGCGTCTCATGCAAAACATGCAGCAGATGCGGGAGCGCCTTGGTTAGCTTTGTCATGTGGAAACAGTCGAGACGAGAGCTGCAAACTGCAGGTATGCGAAGCTGGCCGTGTTCAACACCTCTGAAGTTCCGATGTGACAGCTGACATGGAAGATGGGCTTCTAGCCATGGACACTTGACACTGCACGTTTCGACCAGGGTTTAAACGACATGAGCCATTCTTGGAGCTTACTTCAACTGCATTGGTGCTGTCTGTGTCATGCGGATTTGAACCCTGTGTCCATGTGAGGCTTTGAACATGCAGGTGCCTTGCATGAAACGAAAGCCTCACATGCCGAAGGTTCGATGAACCCAGCAAGTCTTTACAGAAAGTATTGGCACAGTTTTGGAAGCCTCCTGAGTGTCTTCAGTTGGCCCGTCGGTATCCTGCCTCTGCTTGTATAGAGCCGTGCAGAGATAGGTGGCACTTGGGCATCGCTTGATAGACCACGAGGCTTTCAGCGGTGACACAGACCTAGTTGAAAAGAGGGCTCTTTCGCATCTTTAGCCGGGTTGATCTCGAAGCCTGACACCTTTATCGCACTGTCTCGCCTTCGGTTCTTTCTGAAATCCAGGACGTCCAGATCAGATTCCCAGCCGCCGCATCCTCTAGGCAGGAGATCTCTTGCCAGAAGCTTTTAGATGACAGGCGGGAGGTTTGCACGGACCGCGCTTGTTCCCCGAATTTCCCCGAGCTCGCAGCGAGCCACTGCGCCTGAATGGCTTCGACAACGATTCATCTTGAGCATGACCTTGTCACGCTTGGAGAGCGCTGCAGAATGATGAACCTCGAGGCAACCCTAATTCTCATCTGATCCCACGGATGTGCAGAGAATTGTCCTTTGCCTGAAGCAGATGTCCATCTTGCTGTCGTTTCCAGCTGAATGTTGGCATGTTGCAGGATTTTCTTCCCCGACATCCCTTAAGGCTTGAGCGGTGACTGATGTAGCTGCCGGCGTGCATTGGTTGGTTGGCATGCGGCATGGCCCTCTACTGATGACGACCAAGGAAACCCTAATTCTCATCTGAGAAGTGAGATCTGAAGCAGAACCACCCTTGTGTCTGAAGCGGAGCTTTGCCGCGCTTGCAGTCCTGAAGCGTGGATTCTGTTGTCGTGTCCTTCCGGCCGAGCCCCACTCGGCTTGCGCAGTTACGGGCCGGAGTAAGCTCGTCCTGTCTTTGAGAGGATTCCGGCGCAGGACGAGTTGGTTTCCGAAGCAGCACGCAAGGTTCCACGCTGCATCAGATCGACAGATCTTTGAGGTGTTATTTCTCCGGCGGTCCGCAGGATGCGATGATATCGACGGAAGGAACCTGAATAGCTCACGGTGATATCAAACGTGCGACCGGGCAGAGCATTGCACGATGACAATTCCTTCCTTACAATCCTAGAGCTGGAGTTGACCACCAGCAGTCGGGCCGGTTCGATTACGGCCAGTACCTTGTGTGTTGTCGCTGTCGTGTCCGTACACGTTCCCAGCTTTTGCTACCCCGTGACCGCTGCCCATGTCCTAGCGTGAGGCCGCAGGTTTCCAGCGCCGAGCCGGGTGAGGCGAGCTACGACGGTCAGAGCGAGGCCAGGCCTCGCTCGGTGGACCTTAAGCTGTGGGACCTCATCCTGAGAGTGTTCTTAACATTCCCGATTTGAGGTTTTGAGGTTTAGGACAAGTCAGCAGGTCGAGTAGGCAGGAGCCGACTCGCTGCATAGACTGGGGCCATGCAGCCAACAGCGGAAGCACTGTCACGCTAGGGCGTGCCACACGCACGCACGGAAGTGACTGTTTGTGCTATATTCCAACTTTGTAAGGCTGACTCATGAGGTGGTTGCAGTACGAAGGAGTATTGAAGACTCTTAGCAGAATCATCTTAGTTCAGGCAGTTCATAGAAGCCTCACATAATCCAGTGAGTGGTCTATCATCTTTCGAGATCCATTGCCGATGAGGCTACCGAGGCTTTTGTCTCGTGGAGCTGAACTTGATGTCCGCATTTGGCTGTAGGACATCGAACATAGTCTTGCAGCGAGGTCTGTTGGAGGATCCCCGTCCTGGACAAGAGTGAGCCTTTTGCTCATTGCTGTGCTTCGTGTTGCTCAGAGCTTCTGGAATCTTCGGTGACGCCTTAACAGACAACAACTTGCCCAAAATTTCTGATTCCTGGATTCAGCAAACTCTTCACGTTTGTGAGTCCCCCTTGGGGAAACTGCGCATGAGAATCAGTGGCAGAAGCCGTCAAGCAAACAAGCCAAACAGGCCGTCACACACTGAAGAGAAGTGAGGCCAAACGGCAATCTCGAGTTTGTGGCGAAGACGGACTCCGCTTCGCTGCTGTACCTGCCTAAGTGAGATTTTGAAGAGGTTTGCTGAATCTGCACTTGCTAGGAGACCGCCCCAAATCCACGCCGACGCCGTTAGTCTGCCCTCATTCCGCCATCCCCAGAACGATGCAGACTGAATGACCTCCCCATGTGCGTACCAACCAGGAGTCGGAACTTGCATCCTGCTTCGACAGTGCTGTCTGAGGCCATTCACCTTCGATGCTGTCAGGCCTGTCGTTGCCACTTCTCCGTCACTTGCCGCACGGGTGTTTCCGTTCGACATAGCGCGACTGAGAGCGATCGTAGCTATCAGCTGGAGTGGGGCACTTTTTTGCAAACCGGCAAACCGCGATCCCAGCGTCCGCTTCCCAGCTACTGAAGGCGGGGTGCCACGAAGTGCCCGATGGACATCATTGAGTGCTACCACATGGAGAAGAAGGACCTGCAACTCACGAAATCTCACGAAGCCAATGATTTGCTCTTCGAACCTGCGTGCTGAGCTACGTGAGCCGCATGATGCAGCACAGTGGGCAAGATTCTAGAGCAGTTCAGAGTTTCCTACACGAGCCAAGATGGGAAAGTGGAGGTTTTGAGACCATGCGGTATGCAGTCTTCGAATGTTACAAGCTTCAACAGAGATCTGAGATCTGCTGTCGGCAAGCCTTTCCAGAGATGGGCCTCCCCCGCGTCCCGTCTGAAGGACGCTATCGCATTTGCGTGCGAGAAGGCAGCTCTGGCTTGTTTTCCGGCACTCGGTCCAGTCCGGATCTGCGAACTTAGTCTGGGTCTTGCGGCATGGATGAGACTCGAGAGGATGTGCTGCAGTCTGGCTGTGGAACCTCAAATTCGCGCGTTGCAGCCCGGCGGTGCAGCCTAGACAAGCCCCTTGACCCACATTTCGCCCACTTGGCGCATGAGCTGAAGCGGCGTGATTGTATTGCCACAGAAGCTTTACTGCAAGGAACAGGATTGACTGCCTCATCCATTAGAGTGGGTGAGCACTCGGTGTTGTGAGAAGCAGATAAAAGATAAGAAGCTGCCAGGGCCCCATGTAGCCAAGGGACCATGGCGTTGCACACCCCTCGCATTCTCAGTGTGTGCAGCGCCTGACTTTGTCCCAACCATCCTTTCAACTTCTCCCTGACTGGCGCGTCCGTTCTTGTTTCGAGCTGAAGTCGGATCCCTCGCTGAATATATCCGTTGATGAGTATGGCTGCCACGAAACTAAACTCGATTTCGCTCCAGCAGACACGGAATCGACACAGATAGTACTAGTAGCATGCCAGTTTTTGAAAACACAGTCGCCTGAGCAGATATTACTTCATTCAGCTGTGCCTGGCGATGACGTCAACGACAAACGGTACCGTCAAGTGCACCTAATTGTTGGCATTCACCTCAGCTCTTGGATAAGTTCAGGTCGATCGCAACAGCAACGAAGGAAATCTGGGCACGTTTGACAACGAGTAGGAGTCGCATGCCGGGTACTGTTGAAAATTCTGTGACAACTCTGCAGTACTTGCATCAAAAATCATGAGACAGAAATGAATTTCCTGCCCAGGAGGGCTGGCCTCTGGGAGGGGGTGAAATTAAGAGTGCTCCTCAGCGTTCGGCAACCAGCCTTAATGGGAAGCCAGCCTTGCTGACCACCTGTGGCCAGTCCTGCACCTACTCCTTCCGGGCACGCGGCTCAGCTCAGGGTCTGTCGTTCCGTCAGCCAGCAGCTGGTTGCCTTGATCGGTCGAGAGGGATGCTGTTGGCCCAACGCCCCATTTCAGCCTAGAGACCCCTTCCCTGCCACCTAACTCGGAAGTCCATGCGACAGAGCAGCAGTCGGAAATCAAGGGTTATCAGGCGGCTTGGCGCTTCGGGGGAACACTCCATGCCACCCATCTATTACCATGCTTGCGAACGTTCACAGCATAAGAAGCCTCTTTTCCTTCACGTCTCGTCTCCAGATCGGTGCATGAGCTGCTTCCACTGAGCCGCCTTACGCTTGAGGCAGGTGGATCAAAATGGCCGCAGAATGATACGATCAGTTCTCGATCTCTAACTAGCTATGTCTCTCGTTTTCTCTGTCTCTATCTATCTTGATCTCTTCTTTGTATGTGTTTGTTTTAGACCGTGCGGACGACGACTTACTTCCTTTTCTAGTTCTCTTCCTCTATGTTCCCGTCTATAATTCCGAATCTTGCATCTCTCTATTCTTGCAGGGCCTTGTTCTTGTCTTTGCTGGTGGTTTAGCACTGCTATGAGTAGCAGCAACATGACTTCGTCAGACATGTGCGAGACACCGGTTGCAATCGTACACTGGAAGTCTTGTCAGGCAAAATGAAAGCGCACTTTTCGTGCGCAAGTAGTTGCCTCGTGGAATTTGTCTGAATAACTTGCTATGATCTTTAGGATCGCTGACACCGACGCGGTCGGTGGAACATCGTCTTTTCGATAGGGTAGTCGTTATATGTCGTCATGGATGGTGGGATATAATGATGGATTCGTCTCTTGTCGTGCATGCATGTCCAGACGAAATGGCTTTTTTGATTTGGATGTCTTGTAGCAGCCAAACAGGTGCAAAAGGGTCTAGATCTTCAATGGGATTACATATATGATTGTTATTTTGCATAAGAGGGTGCGTATTTCAGAATTTCAAATTAAATCGAAATATTTCTTAAGAAAGGAAATGAAGAATGAAAAATGAGGGACTCGGAAGAATTAATAATGATACGTAAAAATAAAAGAGAAAGAATAATAGGGAAAGGCGAAGAACATGAGAGATAAGAGAATATATGAGGTCATGAAATTATTTAAGAATAAAAGTATGATGATTTTTTATTTTCATTCTCGCTTGACTAGGACGAACTTATAATAAAAGATTCATATAATTAAAAAAATTCTCTCGCCTCGCTATATCGATTTAATTGGATGGAATTGTCGCATATTTTTTATAATGCTCATGGGGAGCAGAGTATATGTTGCATAAATTCTAAATTGCTTTCAGATGAGGCTTCGAAATATAATAATTCTAATTTATATATATATATATATCTCTGTCTCACTCTTTCATCTTTATTATTTATTACTAGCTCCGTACTTCTTTTCCCTAAATCTCTAATATATAATTTTCACTCTTTCATACGTAGGTTTTGGCACGATAGCTCTGACCGTATCGCGGAGGATAATATGTCGTCATATGAAGTAGGATTAAAATTACCGTTTTGGCGAGTATAGATCGGGCTTTTCTTGAATATTGGTATATAAACTATACTCTATTTAATTACTTGGTGGCCGTTTCGGGGATTTTTAATTTTTTGGTGATTTGTGGGGTTCATTGCATACAACCAACTGCAGCCTTCAGGCTCGAGGGGTCAGACCAGGCATCAATCCAACCAGGTGTTTCCAGTGGAAACACCTGGTTGGAGTTGATGCCTGTCGGGGGATGCACGGACATCCCTCACCCCTGCAAGATGTCTGTGGTCCCACCACCGACATCTTGCAGGGGTGAAGGATGTGCGTGCATGAACCCCGACCGAGGCCCCAGCGTGCATGGATAGAGACATCCATCACCCCCGCAAGATGTCTGTGGTCCCACCACTGACATCTTGCGGGGGTGAGGGATGCCCGTGCATCCCCGACCGAGGCCCCAGCGTGCATGCACAGACCCAGAACAATGCACCAGGCTCGGTCAGACCCCAGCATGCATGCACAGACCAATGCACGAGGCTCGGTCAGACCCAGAACAATGCACCAGGCTGGGTCAGACCCCAGCATGCATGCACAGACCCAGAACAATGCACCAGGCTCGGTCAGACCCCAGCATGCATGCACAGACCAATGCACGAGGCTCGGTCAGACCCAGAACAATGCACCAGGCTGGGTCAGACCCCAGCATGCATGCACAGACCCAGAACAATGCACCAGGCTCGGTCAGACCCCAGCATGCAGGTCCAGGCTCAGTCAGTCAGACTACAGTAGGTGGTGGCTCCAAGGCTCCCAGGCTGCCAGGCTCAAGGCCCACCCCTAACCCGTGCCGCCATGTCTTCATGGACTTCGTCGTGATCACTCTTCGGCTGTGGCCGCAGCCGCAGCCGCAGCCTCAGGGGGGGGGGGGGGCAGGACGAGAGCAAAAATCATGTTATAGCATGACATGCAATGACAGTCAGCTGCTTTGACTTGCGATTCCTGTCACGGCGGCTCCCAGGCACTTTAGGCTCCAGGGCTCCCAGGTTTCAGTCAGTTCCACTGAGGTTTTGAACGCCTGCCGACGGCCGCCGCGGCTCTGCGAAGACAAGCCGCCAGTTTTGCATTTACCCATGGAGTGTTGCATGCATGCCTTGAGTGTTTGCCGTGCACCACATGCAATCAAGTCAGCTGCTTTGACTTGCGAGTGTTGCCACTGGAGTGTTTGCCGAGCACCACATGCAATGACAGTCAGCTGCTTTCACTTTAGGCTCCCAGGCACTTTAGGCTCCCAGGCACTTTAGGCTCCCAGGTTTCAGTCAGTTCCACTGAGGTTTGAACCCCTGCCGACGGCCGCCGCGGCTCTTCGAAGTTTGAAGACGAGCCGCCAGTTTTGCATGCACCCGTGGAGTGTTGCATGCATGCCTAGAGTGTTTGCCGTGCACCACATGCAATCACAGTCAGCTGCTTTGACTTGCGAGTGTTGCCACTGGAGTGTTTGCCGAGCACCACATGCAATGACAGTCAGCTGCTTTCACTTTAGGCTCCCAGGCACTTTAGGCTCCCCGGCACTTTAGGCTTTCAGTCAGTTCCACTGAGGTTTTGAACACCTGCCGACGGCCGCCGCGGCTCTTCGAAGTTTGAAGACGAGCCGCCAGTTTTGCATGCACCCGTGGAGTGTTGCATGCATGCCTAGAGTGTTTGCCGTGCACCACACGCAATCACAGTCAGCTGCTTTGACTTGCGAGTGTTGCCACTGGAGTGTTTGCCGAGCACCACATGCAATGACAGTCAGCTGCTTTCACTTTAGGCTCCCAGGCACTTTAGGCTCCCAGGCACTTTAGGCTCCCAGGTTTCACTCAGTTCCACCGAGGTTTCCTGCCGACGGCCGCCGCGGCTCTTCGAAGACAAGCCGCCAGTTTTGCATTTACCCGTGGAGTGTTGCATGCATGCCTAGAGTGTTTGCCGTGCACCACATGCAATCACAGTCAGCTGCTTTGACTTGCGAGTGTTGCCACTGGAGTGTTTGCCGAGCACCACATGCAATGACAGTCAGATGCTTTCACTTTAGGCTCCCAGGCACTTTAGGCTCCCAGGTTTCAGTCAGTTCCACTGAGGTTTGAACACCTGCCGACGGCCGCCGCGGCTCTTCGAAGACAAGCCGCTAGTTTTGCATTTACCCGTGGAGTGTTGCATGCATGCCTAGAGTGTTTGCCGTGCACCACATGCAATCACAGTCAGCTGCTTTGACTTGCGAGTGTTGCCACTGGAGTGTTTGTCGAGCACCACATGCAATGACAGTCAGCTGCTTTCACTTTAGGCTCCCAGGCACTTTAGGCTCCCAGGTTTCAGTCAGCCCCACTGAGGTTTTGAACACCTGCCGACGGCCGCCGCGGCTCTTCGAAGTTTGAAGACAAGCCGCCAGTTTTGCATGCACCCGTGGAGTGTTGCATGCATGCCTAGAGTGTTTGCCGTGCACCACATGCAATCACAGTCAGCTGCTTTGACTTGCGAGTGTTGCCACTGGAGCGTTTGTCGAGCACCACATGCAATGACAGTCAGCAGCTTTCACTTTAGGCTCCCAGGCACTTTAGGCTCCCAGGCACTTTAGGCTCCCAGGGTTCACTCAGTTCCACTGAGGTTTCCTCCGACGGCCGCCGCGGCTCTTCGAAGACAAGCCGCCAGTTTTGCATTTACCCGTGGAGTGTTGCATGCATGCCTAGAGTGTTTGCCGTGCACCACATGCAATCACAGTCAGCTGCTTTGACTTGCGAGTGTTGCCACTGGAGTGTTTGCCGAGCACCACATGCAATGACAGTCAGCTGCTTTCACTTTAGGCTCCCAGGCACTTTAGGCTCTCCCAGGTTTCAGTCAGTTCCACTGAGGTTTTGAACACCTGCCGACGGCCGCCGCGGCTCTTCGAAGACAAGCCACCAGTTTTGCATGCACCCGTGGAGTGTTGCCCCTGGAGTGTTTGCCCAGCACCACATGCAATGACAGTCAGCTGCTTTGACTTGCGAGTGTTGCCGCTGGAGTGTTTGCCGAGCACCACATGCAATGACAGTCAGCTGCTTTGACTTGCGATTCCTGTCACGGTGACTCCCAGGCACTTTAGGCTCCCAGGCACTTTAGGCTCCCAGTTTCAGTCAGTTCCACTGAGGTTTTGAACGCCTGCCGACGGCCGCCGCGGCTCTGCGAAGACAAGCCGCCAGTTTTGCATTTACCCATGGAGTGTTGCATGCATGCCCAGAGTGTTTGCCGTGCACCACATGCAATCACAGTCAGCTGCTTTGACTTGCGAGTGTTGCCGCTGGAGTGTTTGCCGAGCACCACATGCAATGACAGTCAGCTGCTTTCACTTTAGGCTCCCAGGCACTTTAGGCTCCCAGGTTTCAGTCAGTTCCACTGAGGTTTTGAACACCTGCCGACGGCCGCCGCGGCTCTTCGAAGACAAGCCGCTAGTTTTGCATTTACCCGTGGAGTGTTGCATGCATGCCTAGAGTGTTTGCCGCGCACCACATGCAATCACAGTCAGCTGCTTTGACTTGCGAGTGTTGCCGCTGGAGTGTTTTCCGAGCACCACATGCAATGACAGTCAGCAGCTTTCACTTTAAAGGCTCCCAGGCACTTTAGGCTCCCACGTTTCAGTCAGTTCCACTGAGGTTTGAACACCTGCCGACGGCCCGCCGCGGCTCTGCAAAGGCAATCCGCGAGTTTTGCACGCACCCGTGGAGTGTTGACAATGGAGTGTTTGCCGAGCACCACATGCAATCACAGTCAGTTGCTTTGACTT